AGCAATTTTTAATCGCTGATGAAGGGCAGGAGGGGGGGGGGTATACCATAGCGGGAGCTGGGTGGGGTGTCAGGCCGCTGAGCTGAGAGAGGCCCGTGCCCGAAACGGATGCGAGATAAGGAGAGCGGGGGTGATTTGTGCGAGCGAACGGATCCCTGGAATATTTTCCCCCCGGCGCCACCCCGCCTCGCCCCGCCCCGCCAGGTCCACACGACTGCGCTGCGCCAACCTGGAGACCTCATCCCAACTGCGTCGGCACATGCCACGTTAAATCAGACCAATCCCCCCTCCCCTCCCCCATGGTCCCTCACCATCTCTCTCTCTCTCTCTCTCTCTCTCTCTCTCTCTCTCTCTCTCTCGCTCGCTCGCTCTCCCTCTCTCGCTCGCTCTCCCTCTTTCGCTCGCTCTCCCTCTCTCGCGCTAGCTCCCTCTTGCCCGTTTCCTCGGAACCGAAGGGTGGTAGAACAGGAAAACGCCAGAAGGAGGGGTGTGAAAGAAGAGTTGGAGCGAGCGAAGTCGCTGATTTTGCGTCCTCGAGGAAGGCCTTTGTTCGTCAGCGCTTTGATCTCTCAAGTGTTGCTGAAAACAGTTTAGCGTATGTCCCTGGCCGTCTTGTAGGAGGTGCGAGGCGAGAGGACAAGAGCGCCTCTGTGAGTGGGCCCTAGCCGGCCTAGCCAAGCGGTGGCGACCGTGTCTAGCCAGGACCCGTCGCGCCCCGTCGTTTACGAATCGTAATCGCCTCATTCAGGCTCAGCAACGTTTATCCGCGAATAATCATCTTGGCAGAATATCAAGGGAAAAACAGCATCAAAACATTCAGTGAAGCAGTAATATTACATGGCATCAGATCATGGCACACACGGTACGCTAAAGAAGTGGCCTTCCAAGGGTTGTACCCGCATGAGGGGGGTGAGGAGGGTAAGCCAAGTACTACGCCCTACCTAGAATATAGGGGAATGGTGGGTCGTTAGGCAGGTTACGGACGGGTAGGAGGGGTCAAAAAGTGACCAGAAAGCGGCCACGAAGTAAACAATACATATGAATACGGTCTAACAGGTGGCTGACTAACGTCTTGCACTTTAGTAG